GGGAGGGAGGGGGAGGGAGGGAGGGGGAGGGAGGGGGAGGGAGGCGCAAGCAACACGTGCAGAAATACGTTCAACGGAAAAGAACTGGTGGTTGTGGTGCCCTGGAAGAACTGTTCGAAGCTTACACCTCTAATGGAGCATCTACTCAAGGTGGACAGGGTACAGAGACCTACATGGAAGCCGACACATCAAAAGCAAAGCTGAACTGTAATCAACTCCAAACGACAAGGATTGCTGCCACCACCTCTCGACTGTGGACTTCCAGACAAGCCCATCCGACTGTCCTCCGCCACGAGTGCATAGTCGATGCGCATGCCTGGTTCCCGGCTTTGCAACCCACACGCCTGCACTAGGCCACCCTCTTGCCGACCAAGGATCCTTTCCCATGATATTTCGCCACCGTCTGCCATTCAGCTAGCACGAGTGTTGAGTAACACCAGATGCGCTCATGCCCCAACAACCTGATGAACAGGAGGATGCCCTCGCCAAGTGAAATAGGGCCCGGCCCTCGGAAACGTGGCTTTTGAATGAGAAATGTGCCCATCGGAGAGAAGCCAGCTCAGTGGACGACGCTGGTGGGACATCATCACTAGGGTGCAGCCGCCTTCCCAAAACACACGACTCCATCAAACCTCGTCTCATCGCAGTCTGATCAGCACAGCCGTGCCTGTAAGCATCCACCAGTCTTCCCGTCACGAGAAGTTCTTTGAAGCGTCGCCGCTCACCTGTGCGCTTTGCAGAGCCAGTATCTGTTTCTAGCGTTGCAATCCTCGAGACCGGCGCCCGAGGTGTCACGAGGGGATCCGATTATCCAAGTGAACCAACATCGGCCAATGCAACGAGCCCTCTGTTAAACACAAAACAGGCCTTCAGTGAAGCCAGGCTGGCCCCGCATGTCTGCTGGTTCTCCCTGAGGCAGAACAAAGGCTGAGCAGCTTGCAACCGGCCCCCCGACCCTGTGCACCATGCTCAATTCCAATAGATTGCAGGCTGCCGAAGCACTGCACTGGTCCTGGTAGCACTGCTGTGTGAACCAATCCGGATGCGTGACATCCTCGCATCAATGTGTCGTGGACACTCGCGTTCGCATGTGGAAATTCAGTCACAGTCATGTTTGCTGGATTCTAGCCTGTGAATGACACTCTTTTACTTAGATTTTAATCCAATCTGGCCAAGGCTCGATGCGCTCCGCCGCAACATTCAGATCGCCAATCCAAAGAAGCGGCCGATTCCGCTGCACTACGGCCTGACAACAACTCTTCTCGTAAACATCTGATAGAGCTCCATAATCGAGTTTCTGTAGTGAATATGCGCAAGCAGGAAATCTTGTCACCATAAACTTATAGTTACCCCTACAACACAATCTAGGATCGGCTCCTCGTTCAATGCTTTGTCCCACGCAGCCCGTCTTGCGAAGGATTCCGGGTCGCTGCCATTGTTGGGAGAATATGTCCTAAGCTGTCGGATGCAGCCGTCCACTTTGCAAACCCGGCAGGCTCCGCCAGTCTTTCTGTTGGAGCTGCTCGGTAAACTCCCCCAATCCGACTCGAGGTTACTCAGTTCGACGACAACAAAGGGACAATGGAGACTAATCCTCCCACACATACGCCTCGATCTTCAGTTGGCATGTTACGGATGTCCCCAACCAGCGGTGTCCTTGCGAAGACAAAGGCTTCTCTTTACAAAGATTGTCCAGTGCTCCCCAGCACACATCCCGTCACGTCCCCTTTGTTTGTTGTATGTACCGCGGTGGCCAGCGAAGCCTTTGTGCGATGGTTTTCTGTCGAGAAGCAAGATCGAGAACTGTTGTATGCCTTCCTTCTCCTTCTCTAGAGGGCTTCTGCCATCTCCTGCCCGGGCGAAATTCTCGTTGTCGCTTCCCTGGCACTCTATGACACGGCCAAAGCCGACATGGTCCACAAGGTGCTGTACAATGCGCTAGCAACGGAGAGTAGAAGACTAGCAATGGCTAGAATTTTAGATCCACAGCTCGAACGATACTGAACAAAGAAGCTCCTTCCCCTTGCGCTTCAAGCGCAGCGTGTTTCAGCAGCGAGAGCTGTGATGCTCCAGCATCTGCCAGACTGTATCCGCTTCCAACCTGTCTGATCACTGTGACATTGAGGAGGCCCCACTCAGGATTGGACACCGACTGTGCCTCCGACCACACCACAACGTCACGACTGAGCCCCCACGGCTTTCACCCGAAACGCGCGTCTTAAGTACTCCTTTCACCTGGTGCCTGGATGGAGCGCAGGGATCGAGTTGGCGGAATGCCCTCTGTGAGAGAACAAGCCCTCGGAATCTTGCTCTCGGTCGCGCAGCTACGAACTGAGGTGACGACGCAAGCAGGTCAAACGTCGCAAAACTAGCCTGTACATCGAAGCCGATTTCTGCACAAAGTACATCACAGATCATCACAGTACAGCCAAGACCATGAACTCGCTGATCCTAAGGAGGAGACCCAGATGATTCGTCCCTGCAACACTTGCTGCGGCGAGCCATGGAATGTCAAGGGCAATGATGACAAGATGCAGCTGCCAACCTCCGGATGCCATCTGCGATTTGCTGGGTCGAAGTGAGCCGCATGATCCATGCCGAACGTAGAGCACGTGTAGGTGATGCACGAAGGCCGAAGACTTCTCCTGATCATCATCAAAGTGCCTGCACTCGAACGAGGCTTACGTCACAGGCAAGCAGGCAGCCAGGCAGGCTGCCACACAAGCAGAGCGAGAGAGAAAGACAGAGGGACGGGGAGACGAAGAGAGAGCAGAAGCCGAGCTCCTGAGTACTTCCAGTCAGCCAGAGACCAGTGAAAGCTATACATCTTTGCAAATGTGGCAACGAGCGTCCGCTGAACTAGGTCCCAGTCTGCCTTCGGGCGACATCCATCACTCGCTCGTCTTCCATGAATCACTCCGCTCCGCCTTCTCCTGGGCTGAGTCGCACTTCGCCTTCGACGCGGTGTCTTTACGTATCACATGTTGTGGAGTGCCGTCCAGCTGCCGATGCAGCAACGACGAGCCAGAGCTGTCTCATGGGCCTCACCCCGGCTACGCTTCTGCCCGTCACCGCGCTTGCAGCCTGCAGGCTCAAACAGAGAGAGACGGAGACAAAGAGATCGACGGTGGCAAGTCTTGTCAAAATAGCTGACCTTCTTCTCTAGTCCAGTTATGTTCAGTCTACGGGCTTGATTCTGCACTCGTCATGTCGATGAAACAGTCTGGATCTTTGGCCTTTCGGACCGGCCGCTGGAAGCCGTACTTCTTGAAGGCAAAGTACGTCCTGATCAAAAGCCAAGCACAAAATTAGCAAAACATACCCAGGTAGCGTTGCTGGGATAGTGGCCGGCTCTTCGGTCTCCAGAAATTGCTTGATGAGGCTCCTCGCAGGGCAGAAGAACACTAACCTTCGCTGCTGTTGCCGTCGGAGCCCCAACACTTTCCCCGTGAACACCGAACACGCTCGGTCACCAGTTGTTTCGCAGCTGGACGGCCAGCCCATTGACATTCCTGAAATGACACAAACAGAAACGACCACATGGGTGATAAGGCCACTTCAGGGCGAAGCTAGCAGCCGAAGTCTGGGAGGCATGAGTCTTGAGTTGGCTCCAAGACGCACACGTCGGAAAAAAAAAAAAAAAACAGCGTCGCTAAGTTTGAAGCTGGGTTGAGAAAAAGAAGGGAGAGGAAGGCCAACACACTGCATGCAGCTTTCGCAGATCAGAGGTGCAAGGCAAGTACGCAAGCCATGTTGGAGTGACGGAATGTGGTGAACGGAGACCCCGACTAACATGGCATACAACAACAGATTGAACTCTGCTCTCCTTCAATCTCGCCTTCTGGATTTTTCAGAAGTTCCAAGCCAGCGAAACCTAGCTACCTTCCAGCAAGACAGGGTATCCTGCACAGACAGGCTCTGTCGGAACTTCGACAAGCTGGAACAAAGCCAACCACAGCAGAACTGCAGAATTGGAAGTTAAGTACCAAGCCGCCAGGAGATGATCTTCTGAGGGTCGCCAACGGCCTCCGCCCGCGGTGCAGAATCATCTTGGGCACCTGGACTCCAGAAGCATGCCGAATGCGAAAAGAAAAGACGTGACCCGTATGTTTCTGAGGGCAGTGCTGTTCCTCCGCTGTCTCTTGGGACTGGCCTTCGCTACAGCGCTTCCATCAGATGATCTGCCAAAGTTGCACGTTTTGCTTGTGTGAAATCGGGTCTTTGCGAAAACCATACTCCTTACATCTACTTGTACCCTAGCGATCCAAGCGCTGACACTGCTCGTGCTCCCAACCTTCGTAGGTACAGTAGCTGGTTTGGGGGCTTGGGGGAGTTGCGCTTGCAGACTGGCTCAGCAGGTTGTAGTCAACACAGCCCAGCCTCCGCATCCTTGGATACACCTACCAGCATCGATGCATAACTTGTGCCCACTCGGACCTCAATGCAGCTCGCCTGTGCAGCCATCTGGCTTGGAGCGTCGCACGAGGAAGCGATCCATGGCACGCCATGAGCACCAGTGTGCACTGTAGCAGTGTAGCATGTAGTGAAATGCTCTGCTTGCTGCAAGCTGAAGGCTCACGGTCAAGCAAAGGACGCAAAATGTGCTGGATTACATCGTGTACCATTTGATATGACTTTGAAGCCGATGTCTGAAGCTGGCATCCGACACATCGAATTTCATCAGCCCATGAAGCTCCAACTAGTGTGAGGAGGCAGCGTGTCTCAAGTGACGTCATGGCTCGTCGAGGTAGATGACCTACAGGATAGCTTGACATCATGTTCCGATGTTAGTCATCTCACAGGAAACGGCGACAGCCGTGCTGGATGCCTTTTCGACAGAGGCAGGCCAGGAAGGTGACGACAGGTAGTCCGAAAACGGAGCCCCGCGTCGTGTCTCTGTGTCGAGGAACAACCGCAGTCTGCCTGAAGGCTTCCAGCGTCTTTTGGAAACTGTCCGCACACCTCACATCCCGGGGCCTGACGCCTGGCTGTGGAGTCCAACTCCTGCGGTTGGCCGAGTCTTCCCACCCAGTGCGGAGCTGGCACACATGACAGCTATACAGAGATCTTGTGATCCCGAGCTTTAGTTGTCTCGCGTGCGAATCAATCTAGCAGCTTCACGTGTGCCCGCGCCTGATCAAAGGCTGACCAGCGAGCACGTAGGGGATCGCCCTCCTGAGGTGCACATGCCATTTTATGCCAACCTGCTTCTCTCCCGACTGTGCAACCTTCGGTTTGGCCGCAACCTGTGCCCAAAGGGTCATGCTGCGAAGCAAAGAATGCGAGCATGTCAGCACGAACTTGATCGTGAATTACAATATTCCCCTTTATGCACATCTTGAAACACGAAATGGTTCTCGTGCCGCATCCGTCTACCGCAAACTACCGCAAAGCGCTGCACAAGGCTGGGCTCTCCGATGTTGCAGAAGCATCCTCTGCGGCAGGATGTGAAGGGAGAAAGACGCCGCAGGCCAGGCAGCCGAAGCAGAGCGACTGCAGGAGCAGCAGCATGTGTTTGTAGTAGTTTTCGCCTCTATAACCTGTCGTTCGAGCTATAAGACCTGACCGGGTCGATCGGGTCTCAACCAACACTTGCCCGAAGTTGGGCTGTTGTTTCGGAGGAGGCCAAAGTATGCTCATCAAACACGAAGACTTTGGATGTGGTCGGCAACTTGACCGAGGGAAGCCCGGCAGTCGTGGCAGAAGTATCTTCCAAGAGCGCGCATCCAGCAGCGCTGTGCTGGATGAAGAGTCGGGGCCGGTGCTCCGACTGGAATCCTCAGTTTCCTTTTTTGTTCTCCTCCACCTTCCACAACGACAGAGTTGCCTGTGGTACGGGCGATTTCAGAGTGCAACGAAGACTCGGGCAGAACTTATGGAGCCGGTTCAAACTTGACTGTGGCCTCAGGAAGCCAATCAAGTGGAAAGTATCCAGGATGTCGAGGACTTGGGAGCAAAGGAATCACGGTGCACGAAAGGCTGTCTCACTGTGCCCTTCCACGTTGTCCTCATCCACCGGCGTGCGTGGGCGGGGGACCTTAGGCAGAGCTCTTGCACGAAGCTCAGGACATGGATGGAACACGCTGAGGCTCAATGCAGCGCTGTGCGGCATTGGCAAACAGCGCACCCGCCAGAGCCCAAAGCTTGCAATACCGGCTACGGAGTCGAGCCCGAGCAGCACAAAGTCACGAGCACTCATGCTGAATGCGAATGCTTTTGCATAATGGGCACATGCCGCATTCCAGGTGAAACACTGGGAGTGAAACTGGCATCGGCAACGGAAAAAGAGTTGCAAGCATTCCTACCTGATGGCTGCGGCTAGTCACGACCTCCAATCCTAGCGCGAATTGGGTCACTCTTGGGACACTGTGTGCAGCTGTGATGCCTCAGCATATTGGATACAACTTGCAATGACGGCCGATGCAACAAGATGTTGAAACCATGTCGGTGTGCCTGATACTTGTCTGGGTGGGACTCAGCGAAGTGATCGATCATGCGATCCACCTGCCAGCGCATGCAACTTCTGACAATTCGTGCTTCTCAGATGCTCGCTCATAATGAGCAAGCAAGCAGCCTCTGCTTGGGTGTCGTCGTCGCGACCCCGCATCTCTCGAAGAAACACAATGACTGAGGCCTCAAGTCGTCGCTTGGACGCGGGACCGCCAGAAAGCCACTGGAAAATGCCCTGTTTGAGCTTCAGACCTCCTCGACCCGCTCCGAACCATCATAGAGCATGCTGAGAGTCTCGACAGGCCAGCAGATGCACGATCAAGGCCCAATCTGGTCACTAGCGCACATGCGTGCCTCTGCCATCATGTCCAGGGAGTTTTCCCTTGTCTTCGCCGCAATCGTCTCAACACCACTTGCCTTTGATCTGATTGCAAAGGAGCCAATGGAAACCACACTCATTCTGCTACATATGGAACATCGGCAGCCGGGGCAGAAACCCAGAACTTCCGGATGATTTGCGTGCTGAGCAGGTGGAGATGTGGATCCACCTTAGCACGGGTCACGGGTAATCAAGCGGGGCTTGTACCGTGAAGCGAGAGCTCTCAAATCCGCATCGAGGTGCCAATGCCGTGAAGACATATTTCTTTACCTTGCCGTGGGCGTACTGCGTTTTTCTTGAACTCAACATGACCGAAGCTGGCAGAACATGCGATGCTAAGCTCGATGGCCTTCTCGAAAATGTTAAACCACTCGTCTGCTTCATCTTCGTCGAAGAAGAAGGGCAGGCTGGCCAACAGCACCTGTGCGACATGAGCCAGCGTGGTATCTCAAATTCTGATACGGTGCTTGATTGCTTTGCCACCTCGAGATGCTCTGTCTCCAGATGGTCGGGCGGGCTAGCCTCGAAGCGACGCAGCGGATGGCTGTTGACTCCTACACGGACTCTCACACAGCAGCCTCTAGCTGCATAGTCAGCGTCTTGGCAATATCCAAGTGCGGCCAGATCTCTGGCAAGCATGTCTCCTGGCGCGCACGATAGTCGTTATTAGTTCGGACCGAAAACCACGCCCTGCAATCACATAATCCTCGTAAGTGCACGTGAAGTTGCCATGCACATAGGTGCGGCCGGCTTTGTCGTCGCCCTTGTCTAGGCTAGCATGGCGTCATATGGTGTCATACGGCTTCCATGGGACAAGCTACGCAAGAACTCCACGGTCCAACCTGCCTCGGCAGGCTCCTGCAGAAGCCGTTGCCGCAGGGCTGGTGTCTGCCCAAGAAGCACCGCTACCTTGAGGACGGTACCGAGTTTCAACTTGCTCTTGCTTGCACACACCGCATCCGACACGAAACGGGTAAGTGCAGCTTTGTCCATGGAGTTGTAGTCTGAACACAGCATTGCAACACCTGCATGAATGCATATGCACACAAACAACATGTCATGCACGCATGCAGATATGTGCGCACACATGAATGTGTGTATGTATAGATTGTAGAGAGATCTTGTCTATGTATACATGCATCTGTATATACACACATTGCCCCGGCTGATTATCCACACTCTCCCGGCAAAAAACACACACACACTGAACCCAATCGTGAAACCTTACAACGTCCGGCGTGCTGGGCTTTCTAAATGAGTCTCCCTGCTTGGATCCCCAACATATATCGCTACTCTTGCAAGGAAAACCTGAAGGGGACCCTAAGATTGAGAAACCTTGCTTGCCAAAAGAAATGAGGAGTACTTGCACAACTCTACGTCCTCGTCCTTCAGGGACAGAATCCGAACCCATATGTACTTCCAATATAGAAGCCTTCAAAAAGGATGTGGTTTCTTGGGTCCACCTCCTTTAATGAGAGGCTCTGAAAAGTGTAACTTATCTTCCCTACTTAAGGAGTATTGGGCTCTCTGGAAGGTCTATGTAAGCTGACGATTTAGGTGTGACGGTTCTCAAAAGGGCTGCTAAGATGGATCCAGAATTTTCGGAACTTCGATCCGGGCTTCTGAGTCAGGTCCCGGGATTCTCCTACATGTGTACTTTAGCTGCCAAACCCGCTACGAAGCTGCGAAGATGCGAACCGCGTGGTGCTTATTACACATACATACATACATACATACATACATACATACATACATACATAAAAACGTATACATGTGCAAAAAAAGCATATAGTATATGTGCACATACACATGTAGACACACATGCTATACTGTAATATGCTATGTGCTGATGGATTCTCATGCTATGCTATGCTATGCTATGCTATGCTATGCTATGCTATGCTATGCTATGCTATGCTATGCTATGCTATGCCGTGCCGTGCCGTGCCGTGCCGTGCCGTGCCCCGGCCGGGCGGGCCGTGCGATGCAATGCGATGCTATGATATGCAATGCTTATGCTCTACTTTGATTACTCCGCTCGACCCCACCCTAAACTAGTCTACTCTATACTTCACTACCGCACTCGACCACACCACTATATTATGTACTTTACTACACTATACTATGCAATAGTTTGCTCTGCTATATACTATAAGGACCATCAACCTCAGAACCCTAAGCCCTAAACCCCACCCTAAACCAGTACCAAACCCAAGAATTCTAAGCCCTAAACGCCCTAAACCGAAGAATCCCAAGCCCTAACCCCAAAACCTTAATCCCGGAAACCTCGGCCCTAACCCAAGAGCCCTATGCCCTCAATCCAACAACCCTAAACCCCAAAAGCTTGAGCCCTGAGCCCGGAACTCTACTGTAATCCTACTCTGCTTGTGCTATGCTACTCTACTTATGCTATGCTACAATCTGCAATGCTAGGCTAGGCCAGGCCATGCTGTGCTCTACTCCATGCTAAACCCCTCAATAAACCTTACATATTATGACATGATCTCAAATTAACTCATAGTTCTTTTTAAATCATGTTACAACACAAACCCCACACACACACACAGACACATATGTGTGTGCTCGAGTGTGCCCGCTGCGTTTAGTGAACCATCCATGTGTACGAGTACTGTATTCAAGTCAAGCGTTCGAATCCTTGTGATGTGCACGGGTTGCGTAGGAAACAGATTGGGGTCCATGGCCGGGTTCTGATATGGAGTACACACAGCGAAGAGGCGGTTCCACAGCCAAGTTTCTCCGAAGCCTTCCGTCTGGTTTTAGGCCGTCACCCTATGTTCAGCATTGTTCAACATTCCGTGCATGAAACCGCGGTGCTTGCCTACACTGCGAGCATCCTCTGTCGGGCTGACTTGCCACACCTTGCCAACCTAGGACACCTACAACTGGGGCACCTGCAAACACTGGGAGCAGATTCGGATAGTCAGGCAGCACATGCACAAGAGCAGATAATCCAACCTGACAAACATGAAGAGGGTGCACCACAGGACCGTAACCTAGTGCATATCACAAATACCGCGTTCAGCAGGCCTGCAACACATTCTTGGAGTTGCTAACAACAAAAAGACGGCTGACGATGGATAGGATCTCCTCAATGACGGCGTCCACACTTGCCTGATGGATAGTTTTGTGGGCCTAGTGGTGTTAAGTCAAAGAACCCTGACCGGAGCACGGTGCTGCCTCTGCACCTTCTTCGAGTCTGCTGGCACCACCTTTCGGGCAGCGCCAAGTGTGCATAAGAACAAGTCGCCACGCCCGCCCAGATCAGCTGTCTTGCTTTCAGTAGCCGGCTGGCGCTGCCATCATCTTCTGCTCCAACCACGGCTTGGCCCCCTGGGTGAGAAGGCGCTGAGCTTCCAACGAAACTCCCAAACTCGAAGCAACTGTCCCTGAGGTCCATGCGCTCAGTGGAGAGCTTACCTAGAAGCTTAGCCGACAGTCGCAGCAGCTGGGCCTGGACCTCGTGCAGCTTCGCTTCGAACAGAACTGCTCGTGAAAAATCTCCTGCCTCCCACCACTCATCATTGGCGAGAGCAGAAAAGTGCTGCAGCAGGGCCACGACCTCAGGAGTACGACCAATGAGCCAAGGATCCACCCGGCGCTTTCCCACGAGCTCGGCTCGGGGCCGGCTGATGCTGTGAAGACCAGCCTGTGACGCTGCAAATGATCGCCAGGCCGGCCACCCGAACCCTGCGTCGGATCGTGAGTCAGCGTGACAGGACGGGGATCAGAGTCTCACCGGGACGGGACGGGAAGCCAGACCTGCCTGGGCTTGGGGCTTTGTATCGCCATTAAAGCCTGAATTGTGGCACAATGCCAGCTCAGGCAGCGAGAACCACACAAAGCCGTTAGAGACTTCGAAGCGTGTGGCATTGGGATGGCAAGTCCATGCTTGGGGCCCCTGCATAGTATATGTACAAGTCCAGGAGATGTTCGTCCAGGAGACCCGCTTGACCATCTAGATTGATCAAGCTGGCCAAGCCTTGGTCGTGGATTAAGAAGCAACGGGCATGTGTACTGCAACCCATACAGGCATGCGCAGCTCAACCTCCGTACAGGCACATGTTGGCGAGCAAGCGTGCAAAACATGCTTGCAGAGTCCGGGCAGACGCCTCACTATCGCATTCCGCAGGTCGGATTCCGTGTCGCTTTCGGTTTTCCCAGTCGTCGGCTAGCAAACCAGACTAGCGCCTGGGGGTTTTAGCTTCCGCCATTCGTTTGCCAGCTGCAGGCTGTCTTACTGTCTCTTTGGAGAATCAAAGCTTCGTCTTCTCCGGTGCCACCCCTGTCCTCGATGCATCACGGCTTTGGCAGCGAGGCAAACAGTCGCCCGGCCCTGCTTCTCAGCCAGTGCTCGCACGGAGTACCAGAAGAAGCTCTCTCGGATACAACGACATGTAAAGCCAGGGGGAGGGTGAAAGATTTGCAATTCGAGCTTGCACAACACAGATTCTGAGAAGCTCGTCGTGGTACAGCCATCGGAAAGTAGATGGCAGCATTGCGGTCGGAGAGGGTTGGCGAGCGTTCCACGAGTTCAGGTTTGAAGCGGATCCGACCTCTGACAGTGATTTCCCCAAGGGACGAAGTCGAGGCAAGAACATTTTCGGTGGACCGCTTTCAATGCGACAGTGGCACAGCCCCTGCAGCATTCTGGTGCGCACGATTGCAGCAGAAGCCTGCTACACCAACAAGCTCACACGGGCTGCGCAGCAGGCTTTAGTCACATCCAATGCCCGGACGCGTCCAGTTTTTGGAAAAGCAAGCCGGTGGCTGAGTTGGACGAGTTGTCGGAGCGCCCGAAGTGCCACAGTCACAGCATTTTCTATCAAACTTGAAGCAGTCAGGACCTGACACGGCACGTACACTGCCAGGTCGTCGCCCACCTGAACCATTACCAGCACAATGCACAACGCCTCGAGACTTTAGAAGCTACTAGTCGTGCCCGCCTTCTCTTTCAGCGCACGCAACGTCAGGATGTGGTTTAGTGTGTCCTGACTTGTACAAGCTGAAACCTTCGATTCGAAAATTGGTGGGTGTGATTGCAGCAGGTGGTCCTCCTGGACGAAGGAGTAAACCACATCGCACAGCAGATCTCGCTTCTCGGGAGATCGAGCTAATTCCTGGCGGGGTGTCGGGAACTAGGGCAGACTGGCAGAACGGCCTGAAAGATTGATATTTATAGTCATGGTTTCCCAATAATTTCCTGTTCATCTGGACCAACAACTATGGCAACTGGACTGCTTAATTCACAGGTCTGTGATGGTGGCTTCACACTCCTACAATATGTCCAATGACACTGGCATCTTGGAGACACTATCTGACCAGCCTTGGCCAGTGAAGCTAGAGCAACATCCGTCATCATTTGCTGGGTCCTGAGCCACCATGTCTGTTCAACTTTCCCGAGTCAGTTAACACCACCACAAGCACCCAGCTCGAAGCCGGAAGCGTGTTCAGCGACAACACGTGTATTCTAAGACCAGAGCAGCTGCGCATCTTGCTCGCGCATGAGTTCACCCAGCCTTCCAATCAGTAAACTCTTGCTATAGTCAAACGTCACTAGGACCGGGCCGCCTCCTGAAAAAGTACAGTGCGCTCTCGAAGATCGGGCTGGACCTGCACCATCCCATTCACAGTTGAAGGTTTCCAGGGAAATCGCATCAGATGAAAGCGAACGAGCCATCAAAAAAGAAGTTCGGGCCACGACTCTGAAAAATCCGCAAGCGCTGGGTAGAAGGTTGTCCAAACCTGCTGCTGCAACACATCATGAGATGCAAAAACAGTGGTGCAGGGAAGTTGGAGACCTTCCAAAACTCCGGCGGTGACTTGGTCAATGAATCCACCTCGACACAAACCAAGATGCGAGGCAGAAGACGTCCTGCTCCTGCCGACGGCCCCGCCAGCAGTTCCGCACGCTTTGCGAGTGTCTCGAAGACTCGAACTGAGGTTTCCTGGTCAGCAGACATACTCTAAATTTGCCCAATGCCTGTTGCATTGAAGGCACCTCAATCTCACGCATCCGCAGCTCCAACGGTGGAGCCGAAAGTCCATTCCTTACGAGGGCTGAGGCTGAGAGGCAAATTCGGTCTAGACTGAACAATGCTTTCTAGCATCTTCCAGGGCCTACAGTGCATAGCTTGCATAAGGCCCACACATGTCTCGATGAAAATCTCGACCAGGGGCCTCCGCGGCATGAGTGTTCCCCACTTCCCGAAAAGCCGGCCCCCACAACCGTTGTAGCGGGAGGCAGACAGGCAGGCAGGCAAGTAGGAGGTACACAGCAGGCACAGGTAGGAAGGCAAGTAGTGGCGATCAGGACCGATAAGAGTCATCTTCGCGACTCAATCTGCGAGAAGGAGGGCTCAATCAGTTGATTCTGCCCCAGAGGAAGTTCACATACTTTCACCATCATTGGCATGCCCGTAGGGTGACCGGGTATGGTGAAAGTGGGAAATCTGGGAAACCTCACATGCTCCGAGTCGCCGAGCACACCCGAGCACTCAAGGTCTGTGATTCTGAGACCCTGGCATCTCTTACACCCTCTCTGCATTGCTCCATGAAGGCAACGACAATGTCCTGCACTGACAGGACTGTAGGGACTGCAACTGACAACCTGGGGAGGACAACCACTGGTCATGCTGATCCTCCTTCTTGGTGTCGATCATCCTCGAGAACTCCTGGCCCACCATCAGACTGTCGTACCCGCTTGCAACAGCACTGCGCAGAAAGACAATGAATCCTCAGACTCTTGGATGATGGAGAAAACCAGCGGTCGCATAATCTCGGTAGCCTCAGCTGCATCCAGTTGTGACGTAGGTCGGCGTGCGACATGTTACAGCTGAAGTATGGCAATCACGAAGATGCTGAAGTCTTCATGCTGCACACCACCAAGTGCCAAGCTGGCTTGGCAATCGCCTGGTTCTGCCTGCAGTTCACAGGCGACGCCGCGGGATGCGAGGGAGGCGAGTTGAGGCGAGGCAGAGTTGAGTCGAGGACTGCAGGCCGGCCAGAGCCGCACAGCAGGCCTGAGGGCTGCTCACTGCCTGACAGCTTGGCCTCTACTGTCATTCGGTCTCCTCTTCTGACCTTTCTGGGCCCACCTTTAGCAGGGAGTTCCGGCTCGAGGTCGCAACGGGAGGTGGCGGCTCCTGATTCCTTGCCACGTACCAACCGCTAAACAGGTTATGCCGATGAAGGGCTGGGATTCCACGATGGCTGTAAGAAGCAGGAACTCGAACCACAAACGTGCCAGATTGACTTCTCATCGGTTTTTCGAAGCTGGGCACTTCCTGTCTGGAGTGCTTTCACCTGATACTGCACAGCATTGGTTGACTAAGACAGAACAAACTCAGCAGGCATGACGGCGTACCTTCACCTCGTCAACAACAACAGAGTCCGTCTGTTCCCTGTCGTGGCTTTGATCCTCCTGTCGGACGGCGGAGGCTACCAGTAGGGAGGGCACACCGGCATAAAGCAAAAGCAAGAGCAACTTTTTGAGCCGCACTTCACACGACTGTCACAGGCCCATCATCTGAATTAGTAGTACCTCCAGTTTGCAAGAACACGACACGGTAAAGCTTCACGGATCAATGCTTCCGGAGCACGAATAAGACTTGCAGTGAGGAGTAGCACGATCTTGGCAGAACAAGCCAAAATCTCCCGGATACCTTGTGCAGTCTGTCCCCTCTTATGAATTGGCTTGCAGAACGCGTGATCAAGGATGAGTATAATCAGCAAGGCCGCCCGCCAGGACAGCGACGAGGGAAGAGGACATCCTGCTGACGTTCACCAGTTCAAATCGAGATGCGGAAGCAGAGACACTCCTACTCCACACAGATCACAACTGCCACCGGCCAAAGCGTGAGCTTTTCAACAGAAGATGCAAGCCAAACGGTCCTGATCTTCGAAAGCCTTGCGGTGCCCCAAGAAAACTTTTCGGAGCATGGTGGAGCACGGTGCGCAAAACGACTGGTACAGGTAAGTCGCCGGAAACATCGAGTCAGCTGGCAGCTCGGGACCTGTTGCAACGCAGTTAGGCAGTTACATGTGTTGCGAATACCCCTCGGGACCCGACGTGCAAAACCCCGGCCGAGAAGCATCTTGGCTCCACCTGGAGACCTCGAATGCAAAGTACCGCTCAGGCAAGCGTACCATGGGTGGAATGCCAAGCCACACGAGGTAGGCGTGTGCGCAGGATGGATCGCACCTTGGCTCTCTTCTTAGGAGCACTGAACAGCATCGCTCCATCTCTCATGAGCTCATTTCAGCAACAGACGACAGATGAAAAAGTCTTCACAATCCTTGCCACAGCAACCATCCGGCCATCACGAAGTCACGTTCTCTTGCGGACTGAAGCATCTCCTCAGCGGACTCCCGAAGCAGAAGGCAGCCTGTCCAGAAAAACAACACGAAGGGAAGCTGTCCTTGGCAGACTCTGCAGCTAAATCGCCGTTCAGCCTGGCATCGTCCTAGGCTGGACACCAGAAACAATACATCCGAGAAGCCACAAGCCAGTTGAGCACGGCGCTTCCAGGACGAGAGCTTCCGCAGTTCCGGAGCTTATCTGCTTCAGGATGCCGCGGTGTGCATACACCAAGGAACACCTCAGCTTCATGCATAGGCGCACAAAACCGAACACAACTGCTGCATCACTGACCTCCTGAAATTCCGAAACTAGAGTTCAGGGTTTAAGTCGCTGGTGTGATTAAGCCTTCAGGGTGTAGGATTGAGGATTCTTAGAATGCGTTTCACGTAGGGTTGGGCACAGGGCGTTTCTGCACTCGAGAGGCTTGTGGATCAGCTTTCCAGCCCGAGACCTCCAACATTCTCCAATCACGAAAATCATGACCTTTCCCCCTTGGCAGCGCCATCCTCCCGAGCGTTGTCTTTTCCGCAGTGCTGTATTGCGAGGACGACCCTTCCACAAACACTTGAAGCTGTTGTTTCTGAGCTACTCGCCACGACGACGGCACGAGTCCGAAGCCACCTTCTCAACTCATGACCCGAACTGATCTGTTTCAAAGCTCTCAGTGGAACCCAAGCTCGTTGCAAGTCTCGCTCAGTGGTGGTCGTTCTGGCGATTCTGCGAGTTGTACTTAGCAGAAGGGCCTAGGCTAGTTAAATGCGTACGGTTCGCGGTCTTGGGCATTGCATTGCACACTATGTGATGCAAACGCTTACGGAAAGAGAGATGCAAGAGCAGTTCGTTCTTTTCCTTGGGGTCTGGTCGAACAGTCTGTCGGCCTGACACAGGTGCCAGCTGTCCTGTGGCACCTGAACAGCAGTGCTGTCTCCTGCACGGCGCCTGCAAGGTAGACTGCAGGGCCTGGTGGCCTGAACTTTCCTGCAGAGCCACAAACAGCGAAGCCTGTACGTCTAGAGGCGACAAAGCTGTCTCTGACCAGCACGCACAATCCCCTACGCCTCTAGCTGTGCGACCGCCACATTATGACAAATGTGACAGAGCCGACCAGACTGTTGCGCTGACTGTAGCGCCCGAAAACACTTCTTCCACACAAGAACCTGTCAGATTCCTGAGAAGCGATGTGACATATGCCACTCATGTCGTGAGAGCTGTAACAGAAGCGGCCTGAGCTCACGATGAGGGCCAGACTGTGGCTGGACTCCTGTACAACCAACTGCTCAGCTTCAGAGTCGCTGCTGGCCGCCAGCGAACTCTCCCCGGAAGGCGAAGGCGACTCGACCACTAGCGCTGCTTGCAGAGAGGTCTCGCCTGCCTTGCCGAGTCGACGGGCTGAACCCGCCACCTGCCACTCCTGGTATCATCGGGGTCAAACTGACCTGTCCTGATGAGTCTAAGGACTCGTTCAAGATCCCTCAATGGCCCTGCTAAAGCATCACGACTGTAGTTCAACGCGCTCCTGTTGACTCCAAGACTATGATATCCAAGCAGCGTTTGGCTGTCCAAAGCAATAGCGACGTTGGCGCACCAACTTAACGTAGTTGCTTTCAGGCTGTGGCTGCTGATGCGCAAGATGTTGTCAGGATCAGCTCCGTCCTGCTCAGCCAAGATGCTCCTGAGCCACCTGGTTGCTTCAGCACTGGTCAACGCAGCTGGCAAAAGCTCGCCCTTAGACGAAATGGCTGGAAGAATATTGGCATCTCCTGGCAGACCGACACAACTCAAGCCAAAGTGTTCCCTGCTTGCAACCCAGCTGTTGGCCCAGCTCTTGTCAGGCACTCCCTGCACTGGTGCCACCAGCGGCAGAAGCCTGTTATTCCTAGCAGAGGTTCGTGCCTGCTTGGGGTTCAAAACTTTCGTCTCGACGTAGCCTGCAAGTCCTGTGTCGGAGAAGTCGAAAAACAGGTCGCGGCTTCTTTTGAGGTCACTGTGACGACCTCGTCCGTACAGCGCGTAGCAAAGACCTCCTGCAACCAAACTCCTGTAAGAGGTGCGGTCTTCGTCCGCAACTTCTTCAAGAAAGCGAGCCTGCGACACTGAGAGTACCTGAGCTTGTCGCGGTGGTCGCTTGGTCCTCAGCTGAAGGTGAGCGAGGCCTGCCACCCTGGCGGACTTCAAGGTCTCTAGTGGCACACTGAACCCAAGAGTGCCGTGCACCAAGGACAAAGCAGACAAAAGACTGTCCGCTGCACTTGGTGTGGAACCCTCCTTCTGAAGTTCCTTCAGGTACAGGAAGAGAAGAGGTTCCGTAAAAGGCTCCAAGGGGGAACCTGTGCCTGCACCAGACGACGAAAAGCTTGACTGGCCCTGCTCGTTGTAAAAGAGTGTTTGTGCTCTTCTTGCTGAAAACTATTTCCAAATTGGCAAACTCAGTCCTGACATCCTCTGAGCAGACCTGTTCCGCCGCTGTCTGTGCGAACAACAGCGGGCAGAGACGAAGCAGCGCACTCCACTTGCTGAGCGCATTCTGACGCTTCGATCTTGCCCGATTGACATGCCACCCGTCATGTCCTGGCCGCACTCGCGGTGGGCGAAAAACCTGAGCCAAAGTACTGTCGCTGCCTGAAGGCAAAGGTGGCGGCATGGCCACCGGCACCGGAAGTGTCAGCAAACGGTCCTGCGCCTCGTCCAAAAAAGTCCTGCGGTTGCCTGACAGGAAACCGAACTGTCCTCTTTCCCATGGCAGCCAGTCGTTCCTGTTGGACCTGACGGGTCCAAAGCCGAAGCCTAAGTCCCAAAAGGGATCCAAGGTTCTTCGGTCCATCAGGGAGTGGTGGGTGGGCTGAAAATTTCTCGATCTTGTGCCAAAATGGCACGCGTTGAGTGCAATCACATGGTCGTATGCCCGCATGCGTGACACGTGATGCAAACGCTTACGGAAAGAGAGATGCAAGAGCAGTTCGTTCTTTTCCTTGGGGTCTGGTCGAACAGTCTGTCGGCCTGACACAGGTGCCAGCTGTCCTGTGGCACCTGAACAGCAGTGCTGTCTCCTGCACGGCGCCTGCAAGGTAGACTGCAGGGCCTGGTGGCCTGAACTTTCCTGCAGAGCCACAAACAGCGAAGCCTGTACGTCTAGAGGGGACAAAGCTGTCTCTGACCAGCACGCACAATCCCCTATGCTCCTTCCGCGCTGGTCAGAGCAAGGTGTTCGACCAAATCTCCTGGCACTTCTACTCGACTTGCCTGAGCCAGCCACGCTGGGATTTCTCCCCTGCTTGGTGCGTCTGCGGGATTGCAGACGGATGGTACCCTTGAAAACCAGAAGCAAACCTCCAAAGAAGACTCCTGGGATAACAAGTTGCTCAGCATGGCCCTGTTGCTTTCTGGGAAAGCTTGGCCCTTGATCAGAGCATGTTTTACGGCCTCGTTATCAACGAAGACCGTGCACAGGGCACGCAACAAGAATTGATCCCACAGGTGAATGGCCACCAGAACTGCCAGGCGCTCCGCCTGAAAAACTGGGTGCTCTGTGCCACAGAGTTGCCACGTCCCCACAACCTGTTCGGGAACAGTAGCGCTAAAGTACTGAAGTGGTTGACCTGTGGAGTTAAAGAGGACTCCTCCTATGGATGCCACAAGGTCCTCTACTGCACCGTCTGTGAAAAGCAGGAAATGCTCACCTGGCGGTTTGCCAAATTCTTTGGCCTTGGCGTCTGGTACATTGTTCAATATCCAAGTCACGGCCCAGCGCAACGCTGAGGTGAGAGTGACGGGCCTGGGGCTCTTGGCTGGGTGCGTGTGCGAAAGCAAGACCTGCAAGGCGACCCTGCCTAAACGTCCGTGAACCTGTGCTTCCAGCCACCTGACCCTGGATGCAAAAGCAGCACATGCTGCTGGTGAGAGCTCGTTGCACTCGAGCACCTGGGAGCACCAAAGGCGCACCTCGGTTCTGCGACGTTCGGTGTTGCCCACCAGAATGAGCGCCTGAGAGGACCTGGTGAGGTCAAACAGAACCCCAAGGGCCTGAAAACACCCTGAGAAAGGCACAGCCTTATCACCTGATGTTGCCACGTTCCATCCTAACAACTGGAAAAACAGAAAAATTGCCGCCTGCAGATTGCGAACGTCATCCTGAACCGTCATGACTGTAAAATCGTCGTAAAAGTCGGTCCAAGGGAACCTGAGAACTCCTATGGCCCACAGAGCCAAAGCTACACGTATGAAGCTCCAAACGGAGGCGGAGGCACCAAATGGTAAGGCAAACATCTGACGCAGAGCAGGCTTCTGGGTGTGGCAATTCCACACCGCAACCCGTGCTAGGCTGAGATCCTGCACCCTGATCGCCAGTTGCCGGTAGGCACTTGTAAGGTCGAAGCATCTACCCTGGAGTTCCTGCTGCGACCTGCACTGCTTGCTGAAGCGCGTCAAGCACAAGCCTAATGCAACCGATTCTCCTGTTGACATCACTCTAATGCGTTCGGAGGCTCCAACTGTCTCATTTACCCTGGAGATGCTGAAATCATCGACTGCTCGCACTTTGTTTCCCTGGCATACTGCAAAACGCCTGCTCAACACACTCCCTTCGGGAGGGGAAGTGCCAGGCAGAAGCTCTGCCCAGCCCTGTCCGACGTCCTTCTGGGTTTGGTCCCACAAGGCCTGGTCCAGTTTGGGATCGCCACAGCTGCGAGTAAGGTCCAAAATTTCCTGGTTTCGCACAGGCGCCTGCCGTAACAACTCCTGCACAGACAAGAGAGGCGGCTGCTAACGACGTGTCAGGAAAATTAATGCTCTGTAAGAGTTCCTTGAAAAGCAGCAACCTCTTTCCTGACAAGATGGATTGCACGTGTGGTTCCATCCCGGAGTGCAATGCGGCTTCCTCCTTAGACAGCTCTAATGCTCTTTGGCATAATTAAGGAGTGCAGGACCTGGCACCTGTGCCTGTGCACCTCTGGTAGCGAGGACGCAATCTCCCAGCAAGTCTTCTCTAGTGTTGGTGGCACACTAGGCGGCGTTTGCAGAGGATGTCCTGCCCTCACTGCGCGTCGTACGAACTCAAGTGGTTCACACGCTTGCCCTACCTGTGCTGACCAAGAGTCCTCGTGCCTGGCTATACTGAGCACGACGCTGTTCTTGCTGCCAGTGATTGTTTCGGCCGACCTACCTGGGATAACCTGGCTTAAGTCGACATGGCTGGGTACATCAACCCAATCAGTGGACTCAAACGGGTCCACAAGTGTTGGC